ACATGCTCTCCGGTCACTTCACAGAACAATATGAACATGCAGAAGTTTGAAACAAACAGCAGAACCGAGCGGCCGTCGGGTAACAACGCCGCGCTCCCTGCTTCACAGACGACGAACGAGTTCCTGCACCTTCAGTCACATTTGATTGACACAAGATCATACATTCCTTTTTATACAATATGCATGTTTAGATAGATTTCTTTATCCAACTTGCCATTCCAAAGACACGATTTAAGTTTGAAAACAACACCGGTCCATTTATTGCACACCATCGGCTCACAAAAATAATCTGGGCACTTTTGCGTTTCGACAAACAGCAGCATTTCATTATTTAAAAAACAAACAAACAAACAAAAAACAAATACAGACACTGAGCACAACAGATGGAAAGCATGACGTACAAGTGGAGGATATAAAACCATTTGCTTTTTTCTTTTTAACATTGTGCAACTAGAGAAAATAGGTCCATTTACTAAGGCTAGCCTCTTAAACACACAACATCATACAGTGTTTTAAGGGCCACAACCGGAGGACCCCTATGCTGAACAACTTAGAATTATTATCTTCTTTTTCTTCTTCTTCTTTTATCATGTGCAATAAGTGATTGCCATGGCAAATCCCCAATGAGACAAAGAACATTTGGTCCGCTTTTTAAAAAGTTTGATTTCTACCCAGATAAAAAGGGCAAATGGCACATTTTTTTAAAAAAGTGACTGGGATGATGGCACACGGTACCACCAGCCTGTAACAACACAGCTTAGACTGGTTTAAGGATGTGTCCACAGAACAGCATTATTGAAACCACATCTACAATCAACCCTGTTTGTGAGCACCTATACTTCAACTGGGGGGTGGGGGGGGCAGATTTTTTTTGTCAGTAGCATTCAACCCATGGATCAAACCATGGGTGTCATTATCTTCTCAAGACACAGGCACCATGTTGTCACGCCACAGGGAACATTGACCCGAACAGCACGGTTATGTAACAGGAAACCAGTGATGTGAAGGACAGCCTGCCGTCAAACTGACCTCATCGGCCCCTTACATGGCGTCCGTACGTTAGCATGGTCCAGGTGCTTCGTACGCGATCCGGAAACCAAAGCAATCTGCTGCAATCAGTGGAAACGATCAATCTAAGTGCTATAAGTTAGCGATCACCCGCCCTCTGCTGCTGGAGTGAAGAAAACTGAACGGGGAGCCATGTTTGCTGTTCATTCGGCGAGAGAGAGCGAGACTTCCAGCAGGTAACAGAAAGGTGACTCTTGAGGAGCTTCGGTTCTGGAATGTGCCGGATTTGGAAATCTTTTTCAGCAATGCCGTTAGCCGTGCTAGCTGATTTAACATTAGCCGTTCTCTCACGGTGGGAGTCCACCTCTTCTACGCAGTAGAAGGCCACTTGCACTATAGAGGTGAGTAAGTAATGGGTGTTGTGATACGATACGCGTCACGATACATGGGTGAATATTATCACAATATTGCGATATTTTACCCAGCTATCGAAATGAAAAGTGCTGTATACAGGTGCTGGTCATAAAATTAGAATATCATGAAAAAGTAGATTGATTTCAGTAATTCCATTTAAAAAGTGAAACTTGTATATTATATTCATACATTACATACAAACTCATATATTTCAGATGTTTATTTTGTTTAATTTTGATGATTACAAATGACAACAAATGAAAATCTCAAATTCATCATATCAGAAAATTAGAATATTGTGAAAAGGTTCAAAATTGATGGCCCCTGGTGCCACACTCTAATCAGCTAATTAACTCAAACCACCTGCAAAAGCCTTTAAATGGTCTTTCAGTCTAGTTCTATAGGCTACACAATCATGGGGAAGACTGCTGACTTGACAGTTGTCCAAAAGACGACCATCGACACCTTGCACAAGGAGGGCAAGACACAAAAGGTCATCGCTAAAGAGGCTGGCTGTTCACAGAGCTCAGTGTCCAAGCACATTAATAGAGAGGCGAAGGGAAGGAAAAGATGTGGTCGAAAAAAGTGTACAAGCAAGAGAGATAACCGCACCCTGGAGAGGATTGTGAAACAAAACCCCTTCAAAAATGTGGGGGAGATTCACAAAGAGTGGACTGCAGCTGGAGTGAGTGCTTCAAGAACCACCACACACAGACGTATGAAAGACATGGGTTTCTGCTGTCGCATTCCTTGTGTCAAGCCACTCTTGAACCACAGACAGCGTCAGAAGCGTCTTGCCTGGGCTAAAGAGAAACAGGACTGGACTGCTGGTGAGTGGTCCAAAGTCATGTTCTCTGATGAAAGTAAATTTTGCATTTCCTTTGGAAATCAAGGTCCCAGAGTCTGGAGGAAAAGAAGAGAGGCACTTCATCCACGTTGCTTGAAGTCCAGTGTAAAGTTTCCACAGTCAGTGATGGTTTGGGGTGCCATGTCATCTGCTGGTGTTGGTCCATTGTGTTTTCTGAGGTCCAGGGTCAACGCAGCCACATACCAGGAAGTTTTAGAGCACTTCATGCTTCCTGCAGCTGACCAACTTTTTGGAGATGCAGATTTCATTTTCCAACAGGACTTGGCACCTGCACACAGTGCCAAAGCTACCAGTACCTGGTTGAAGGACCATGGTATCCCTGTTCTTAATTGGCCAGCAAACTCTCCTGACCTTAACCCCATAGAAAATCTATGGGGTATTGTGAAGAAGAAGATGCAATACACCAGACCCAACAATTCAGAAGAGCTAAAAGCCACTATTAGAGCAACCTGGGCTATCATAACACCTGAGCAGTGCCACAGACTGATCGACTCCATGCCACGCCGCATTGCTGCAGTAATACAGGCCAAAGGAGGCCCAACTAAATACTGAGTGCTGTACATGCTCATACTTTTCATGTTCATACTTTTCAGTTGGCCAACATTTCTATAAATCCTTTGTTTTTATTGGTCTTCAGTAATATTCTAATTTTCTGATATGATGAATTTGAGATTTTCATTTGTTGTCATTTGTAATCATCAAAATTAAACAAAATAAACATCTGAAATATATGAGTTTGTATGTAATGTATGAATATAATATACAAGTTTCACTTTTTAAATGGAATTACTGAAATCAATCTACTTTTTCATGATATTCTAATTTTATGACCAGCACCTGTATGTTCATCAGAATTCATGTTCACCTCCACTGTGACTGCCTCAACTACAGAGATGGTGATGTGCTACACAGGTAAAAGGCTCCACAGCGCCATCTACCAGTGTGGTGGTGCAGAGGTAGCCCATTTTTCCCTCATTGTTTTTTTTTTTTTTATTGACATTAGGGACTGAAAGATCGATATTATATTGGACAGCAAATTATCACAATATAAATCGATTTTTTTCCACATTCCTATTGCAGTAGAAATTTGGATAAGCAATATTTGAAATGCTGTTTAAATTGGGGTGGGGTGGGGGAGGGGGGGTCTATGACTCTGAGCATCTGTGTTGTGAATGTTCAATCAATCACCTCAGGGTGCCAGGTTAGTGCAATCAAATCTACTCCTGCCAAACATCTAACGGCAGAGACACAATTTAAAATGGTCTTTTTCTGCTACATATTATTACAGGTAAAGTCTGGAAGAGAAACAGCATTACGACAAAGAGGGGGGGGGGGGGGGGGGGGGCATCATTACTGTGCTCCATTTCTTTACAGGAGAAAATAGTGACACAATAGTGCCAATAGTTAAACGTTAAAATTAAAATGGGCTTGAACGTTTACCTGGATGTACAAAAATCAATGGAAAATACCTTGAAATCATGTTGACAGAGTAAATAATACCTTTAGAGTAGGAAGCAACCGTTGCAGGGTTGCTGTAAAATGTCTTGCAGATAGTTGCCCTCTTTGGGCTACAAGACAGCAATAAATGCAAAAGAATAAAACAGCATCGAGAGAAGGAAACGCCTCTGAAATAATACGACTTACAACCTTTTTTCTTTTTCGTCTATGCAGTAAAAACAAGCAAATCAAGGCAGTCTAACAAAAACTGTGTAACGAAAAAATACCAAACAAAATGAAGAAGTTTGTCCAGCAGGCTGAGCTTCAGCTGTGATAAAATAAGACGTGACCTTTGAGATCATTCAGTCACACATCACCGTCCACGTTAATAGGCATGGGCCGGTGAGCATCCCCAGAGATGGGGGGGGCTGGACAGTCTGGCTCAACAGTCATCTCCATGTCATGCATTTATTCTGCCCAGGTGAGTCCATCTGGTTTAAGCTGTGCAGGTTGGACTCACTTGTTTCAGCGGCTGAGCAGACAAAATGCATGATAGGAGCCTTTTCTCAATTCAAACGCGAGTGTGGACTCGTGTCCACACCAAGTATGTTCTTGAGAAGGACACGGGAAAAGTATGGACTACGAGAGCAGGAGCATAATAATAAATTCTTACTTTTTTCATCTAGTGGGTGAATAATGATTAAAACAGTCAGATAAACACGAATCAATTGAACATTTTGCTAAATTGAACAAAACAATCACCATCAGAACTTCACACATGGCTGCCGGAGGTTTCTTCCTGTTAAAAGGGAGTTTTTCCTCCCCACTGTCGCTACAAGCATGCTTAAGCCTGATTTATACTTAAACCAGGTCGTCTGAGTAGGTGTCACAGTGAACGCAGAGATGTCTCTGCCCTTCCGCAGACACTATGCTGCATCTCTCCCAAATTATAGGTGAACGCAGACAGGAGGCCTCTGATTGGTCAAATCTACATCTGCTGTCCACTATACATACTTCCTGTTTGGTTCCTTACCGGCTTGTTTTGTTTGTATGACCACCATTGTGGAAAACGACTGGTGAAGATGGAGCAGCTAGAAGAGCGAGGTGCGCGAGAACACTGGGACCCTTTTTCACTATGGAAATAACCTGAACTGAATTGAATTAAATGAAAAATAAAACTAATACGCTAAATTTCATTCTTCCATGTGACGATTACTGCTGTTCTAATTTGATCAAGTTGTTGATATTTGGTTTGATTTTTTTTAAGGATGAGATTTAGAAGCATTGTGAGAATCCCCGGTCCAGCCCATGCCTACTAATTAACAACCTTGAACTGTTTATGCCGTTTAGTTAAAGACCTCCTCTGATCAAAGACCCAAAATCAGAGAATTTGGCATTTTTGAAAGAACCAAGGTTGGATTTATCAACATTCTTCACAGACGAATAAAAGATAAACCGTTAGGAAGTTCTTTCTCAGTCTAGCTAAAGTTTGAACCATTTAAAAAGGGAAAACATACTGTGTTCATAAGGGTCATAGAAATGCACATACACGCACACCTTACACATCGCAGAGCAACACCCAACAGACAGCATTCATATAGAAGTACAGTACAAGCTATTGCAGGATTGATTAATATTAACATGTAATAATTGGCCAATAGCAACAGCACCCGATGAGGAACACAGTCTGTCCATACAAACTAGCATTACTGTCACTAATTTAATACAAGGACTATTTTAGCTCTGTTTGCAAAGACTTTGATTTGCCACTCTTCTTCTACGTGACTTTGCTAAAGTGTGAACTCTCAGGCACTTTCTAAAAGTAGAGCAAGGCTTGGAATGAACAGACCTCCAATTGGCTAACACTTCAATAACTACAGCTGGTGCTGCATTCAAGTCATATGGGAAACAAGATAAATCTACTATGAAAAATACTGTTAACTCCCAGACTGATGAAGCTGGAGGGAACTCGGAGAACTCTGAACCTTGGGGAAGCTTTGCATGGAGAACGATGCCATAAAGTCTTGAGAGAGCCCTGCTGCGGGTCGCAGGCGCAGCTTTCCAGGTGGTTCCTTTCAGTCTTAGCATCCTTTTCCCATATGACCTGAGTGCAAAATAAGACATGAGAGGCAGGCAGAAGCCTTGAATCACTCTATGGTGATGGAAGCCACCTCCTTGGCCTCAGCATGCTGCTGATACTGCTGCTCCTCTTCAAACACCTCTGGGGAACTGCCTCTGACGCCGTCGTTCATTTTGATCTCCTCCGTCATGGCCGCCGCCTCGTCGGCGTCCGTCTTATTGGAGGTCGGCACTTCCAGGGGGTCCAGGGGCTCGGGTGAGAGGAAGCCAGAGGAACTTTCACAGTTCTGTGTGGAAGAGGAGACCTGGGAGATGACGGGCATCTGGACTGAGGAAGAGGCGGCAGCGGTGGCGTTGGAGGTGCTGCCCGGGTAGACCGGGTGATGTTGGGACTCCTCCAGCTCGTACGGAACGCCCAGTGCCTCCTCCTCCTCCTGCACCTGGCTCAGGTAGTCGGGCACGAGGAAATCACTGCAATGATCAAGAGAGCAGGTGAGCTCGCCGTCCTTCCATCCCAGCCGCCATACAAACATTAAACACAACCCATTTCAATCAAACGTCTCTTTAATCCGTAAACAGAATCGGCTGGTCAATAATTATCAATGCTCTCATGTAGTCGGTGTACTAATATTAATATCACTATTAGTTATTCCCAATGATAATCAAAGCGTCATGAATCCAGTTGTCCATTAATTAAAGGTGTTCCATGTCAGAGAGGAAAAATCCCAACGATTAATCCCAGTCAGATGTTTGGGTTTATCAATCCCAGCAATTAGTTCATAACAGGATTATTAATCCTTATCACAATTATTTCCTAGTCTGACGCAAGGGTGTAACTTAGTGATTAAGTTGGTGGGGGCGCTCTAAGGGTGGTGTCTGATGGACCTATAGTTACTCCACCTGAAAGCTTTCATTAGGGTTTCTGTATTTTCCAAAAAGGAGCTCAAACATATATTGATGTAATGCTTTCCTATTGTTGAGAACACAAGAGAACCATAATACCCTGAGACAGTGGTCTGCAAACGTTTGGGCAACCTTGTTAATTTCCATGATTTTCCTTCATAAATCGTTGGTTCTTAGGTAGGATAAAAAAAAACAGTTAAATACATCATATAGGAGACAAACACAGTGATATTTAAGAAGTGAAACGAAGATTATACCATTTACAGGAAGTGTGCAATAATTGTTTAAACAAAATTAGGCATGTGCATAAATTTGGGCACCACAGTCAATAAAAAATAACTCAATATTTAGTAGATATTTAGTATAACAGCTTCTAAACGCTTCGTATAGCTTCCTATGAGAGTCTGGATTCTGGTTGGAGGTATTTTGGACAATTCCTCTTTACAAAACACCTCTAATTCATTCAGGTTTGATGGTTTTCCGAGCATGGACAGCTCTCTTTAAGTCACACCACAGATTTTCAATAATATTCAGGTCTGGGGACTGAGATGGCCATTCCAGAACGTTGTCCTTGTTCCTCTGCATGAATGCCTTAGTAGATCTTAAGCAGTGTTTCGGGTCATTGTCCTGTTGAAAGATCCAACCCCGGCGCAGCTTCAGCCTTGTCACTGATTCATTGGACAATGGTCTCTTCAGAATCTGTTGATATTTGGTGGAATCCATGCGTCCCTCACCTTTAACAAGATTCCCAGTCCCTGCACTGGCCACAAAGGCCCATAGCAGGATGGAACCACCACCAAATTTTACTGTAGGCAGCAGGTGTTTTTCTAGGAATGCTGTGTTGTTTTTCCTCCATGCATGACGCCTCTTGTTATGTCCAAATAACTCAATTTTAGTTTCATCAGTCCACAGCACCTTATTCCAAAAGGAAGCCGGCTTGTCCAAATGTGCTTTAGCATACCTCAAACGGCTTTGTTTGTGATGTGGGCGGAGAAAAGGCTTCCTCCGCATCACTCTTGCGTGCAGCATCTCGTTGTGTAAAGTGCGATGCACAATGACTCCATCTGCAGCAAGATCATGTTGTATGTCTTTGGTTCTGGCCTGTGGGTTGACTTTGACTGTTCTAACCATTCTTTGCTTCTGTTTATCCGTGATTTTCCTTGGTCTGCCACTTCGAGCCTTAACTAGAACTGTGCCTGTGGTCTTCCATTTCCTGACTATGTTCCTAACTGTCGAAACAGACAACTGATATCTCTTAGACAGCTTTCGGTATCCTTCCCCTAATTCATGACGGTGAACAATCTCCGTTTTCAGGTCATGTGACAGTTGTTTTGAGACTCCCATGTCGCTACTCTTCAGAGAAGATTCACAGAAGAGGGAAACTTATAATTGCCCCCCCTTAAATACTCTCTCATAATTGGGTTCACCTGTGTATGTAGGTCAAGGGTCACTGAGCTTCCCAAACCAATTTTGATTTCCAATAATTGGTTCTAAAGATTTTTAAATCAGTAAAATGACAACAGTGCCCAAATTTATGCACATGCCTAATTTTGTTAAAACAATTATTGCACACTTCCTGTAAATGGTATAAACTTCATTTCACTTCTCAAATATCACTGTGTTTGTCTTCTATATGATGTATTTAACTAATTTTTTTTATCCTAAGAACCAACGATTTATGAAGGAAAATCATGGAAATTAACAAGGTTGCCCAAACTTTTGCAGAACACTGTATTTATAGATAGTTAGAGAGACGCCTTTTAGTGTATTACATATTTAGGGCCCGAAAACATTAATGTATAAAAAAAAGTAACGATTAAGAGCCGATTCCGGCCCTTCGGGCAAGTGACTTTCAGATTTCATTTGCCCAGAAACAATTTTTACTTGCCCAGTATAATGTTTGATAAATATAGTCCCTAATATTAATTTTTGTATAAATATCAATGAAACATGTTTGTTTTTAAAATGTTTTTTGTAATTCAGTATTTTTTAAGTTTCCAGATTCCTGGTGTGTATCTGCATGCGTCAGATAATGAACTCAAGCCTACATTACCGTATTAACATTCTTTTCAAACTAAACTTTGCTTTAAACTGTTGTGTGCTTGGAAAAATATAAATTGTAATGTTAAAAACCTAAACAAAACTTGACAGGTTAAAAACTTACACTACTATATTTAATCTAGCGTGTATTATAGTATAGATTAAATTCATCATCCAGCTGCTGCTCTGCAGAATTCTCTCCCCAAGAGCTGAATCACGCAATCTAGCGGAAAATCACGCGAGATTGTGTACAAAACAACAAAAATGGTGCCAGCTACGCTTGTGGGTCGTTTTCAGCAAATGTCTGTGATTTTAAAGTAATTTTGAGTGATAAATACATTTTTTTTGCGATCATTGCACTTGCCCGTCGAGCCCTGAGAGCATTTTTTCTTTCGAGTAAATTTGGAGATATATTTTATTGCATGTTGCATATCCCAGTAAATCTGGTTCACCTTTAAATCTGCAGCTCTCCCTACTTCTCTCCGTTTAAAACATTTATGAACCTATTTCCTAAAATAATGATGCCAGAAACTAAATTTCTTGATATGGAGAAGCTCTGCAGTCTGTTCAATAAGATGGCATGTTCATTTTAACCTGTAACTGGGAGTCATGGTCCTCTGAGAAGCTTTTTTTTAACTAGTGAGGAAGAACAAACTATGTTTTCTCAAGATTCTTGTATAATATTACTAACTTGTATAAACTTGTTGCCATTTTTAGCTGAAACAGCTCCGTATGTAATAAACTGATTTTTTTTCGTGGCATTTCCAATCGTTTTAACCAACCCGTCTCCCAACTTTGACTTAAACATGGAAGTAGCTGCTGGTTAATATTCACTGAGTGCTGCTGTGTGTCTCTCCTCCACGTAGCTACTCTCTCAGCAGATCAGATGTCTCAAAGCGACAGATCCGATGATGTTACACCGAGATGCGGACACAGGAGCAGCGGAAGAGAGGAAAAGAAAACTGACTTAAAAAACTCGGATTATAGTTAGCTGCACCCAACTCTGTTACCTTTGGCTAAAGTAAATGAGCAGAAAGGGGGAAATTATTTTTGGGGACATGTCAACACCAGTCCTTCAGAAAGTTACGCCTGTGTTCCGATGGTCACAATCGGGATTCTAATTTTTTAACCTTTTCCTTTTTTCCACTCGTGGCATTTATCTGAAAACAGGCTGATGGTTGAAGGGAAGACATAGCAAAGGTAAACAGGCAGATATCATTAATCATCAGATTAATAAACTAATCCAGATGCGTTTTTATATAAACATCTAATCCTTAAGCATCTTCAATTTTGACGAGTTTTGCGATATTTCAGGTAACATGAAGTGATAGAGATCGACAGTTGTTTTAATATTTCAAATTTGATATCGTTACCCAGGAAAAGATTAGATACTTAATGTAAGGCATAAAATTTACTTTTATTAATATGAAAAACTCACCTTTTTACATCTCATCCTGGAAAATGCTTTCTCTACAGAATTAGATGCTAGTTCAATACGTGCACAAATAAACGCAAAATTAATTAAAAAACAAAATTTGACAATATTCTGAAGCTGTCAGAGGTCATTGTTCTTTTTATGAGCAAATAATCTGGAAGCTAAATTTACAATTGGCAAAAATATATAAAAAATTTACTTTGGTATCGATACCAGGGTTGAAGGTTCTTCCTGATGCAGTCTGGCAGAAGGAAACCGATTTTTTCAAAGTCAAATTTAAAGGAAAGTTTTGTTTGTTTTGGTGAATATTTTGCCTTAAGCTATATATATATATATATATATATATATATATATATATATATATATATATATATATATATATATATATATATATATATATATATATATATATATATATAACCAGGGGGGTTTGGGGGCAGGAATAGCAGAAGAAGTGAAGGAAAAAGAAAACCAGCTGATGGAATCGGAGAAGACAAGAAAGCCTTTTCCTCCCTAAACGTAATGTAGATTTATATTACACACACTTCATAAATTATTATTAATTCTTATAGTGTCATTGTGTATTTTCTTATAAAGATTTCTCCTTATGTAGCCTTGGTGGAAATAGTGAGTTGACTTTTCAACGGAACTATCTCAGTTCTCCACAATAAGGTCAGTTACCAGGACTTTCTTCTGGAAGAAACTCAACCCTGGTTGATGCCGAGCTCAATTAGAACAGCGCCTGGAGGCAGCGTTTGGTCAGATATCCATCCGTCACGTGATTTGCTTTTTAGAAACGGATATCAAAACCAGTGGATTTACAGAGCGATTTTTTTATGACAAACAAAATTTGTTTTTTTTTTCATTTTGATTAAGAAAAAGTGAAATAACTTAAAAACAGAAAAATCTGATTGTTTCTCAGACCGGATGTTGTCACTTGATAAGAACCAAATTTGATTTCTGGCTTCATCCGCTGAGCCCTATATTCACAGGTTTAATGGTGGGTAAGCTGCAGCTACTCTGGGAAGAATAACAGAAGCAGGGCTTTTATAAAGTTTGCACCACTAGCAGGGGCGCCATATTAAAGTTAGGA